CTTGTTACAAAACAAGAAATAGCATAGAGCAGTTCAAATCATTTTAAGTTGTCTACATTCAAAACCTTGAGCACTTTTTTTTACCTAATAAACAATGTCATTAAACACATTAGCACCCCCCCACACACACACAAACAATTCCCAGTCTGTCTTAGAAACCCTGTGCCCTTCTCTCCTGCTCAGCATTTGCTGATTTGGGGGGGGGGGCATGGTCTGACCTCTACAATGGTGACTGGGCTTTTGCTTTGCTATTACTTATAAACTTGCAAAAGCCCAAATAAACACTATGATAAAAAATGCTCAAGAGTACACATTTGTTTAATTAACTTTACTTTCTTATCAATATGACAGAACAGAGGAGTTCAACACACATTGAAAGAAATCAAGTAGAGTCTATCTTTGGACAGGTAGAAGTGTTGTTTCAAATTTTAATCACTGATGAGAGCCATGTCTGTTTGACCTTATAACATACAATAGTGTACTATATTGCACTTATTGAAACTATTACACATGAGCATTAAAGTACAACATAGTTACTTACCTTCATTTTTCCAAACTGCAGACACAACAACCTTAGGGGCAATGTGAAAAATGCAGAAGGGTCATGAATTGAAGCTTTAAGTGACCTTTTAGAGAATGGATGGCTTCTACTCCAGTAAAATTATAGCTAAGATCTGAAGTCACTGAGTATGAAGCTTTTATACACATACCTCTAAAGGTTTCAAACCCCAAAGAGAGCTTAACTTAGAAATTAGCAAACTGGAAAAAATGCAGTGTTTTGTTTTGTTGTTGTTGTTGTTGTTTTGTTTGTTTGTGGGTTTTTTTCCTTCCAGGGAAACTTGTATAAGTCATAAGCCAATCTTGGGGCTGTCCCATATCAATCATTTTTTATTCACATAATGCTGATGTGTAAAGTATTCTGAGATTGTGGAGGTATAAATGAGAGTGCTAAGAACCAGGAAGCATGATCATCAGGTAGAGGAAAGATTTATAATCATGAGGGGAAGATGACCATAATGTTGTGATTTTACCTGAGAGTTTCCCAATGTGGACAGGATAATTTTTCTTACCTGAAATTATCTAACACCTCACTTTCAAAATTATCTTGCTCAAAAGAAGTTCTTCTTGGACTGGTTACAATGGCATACACCTATGAGTCTAGCTATTGAGGAGTCTAAGGGAGGAGGATTGTTTGAGCCTTGAAGCTTATAGCAAAATCTTGTCTTTTAAAAGAAAATTTGTAGTTGAAACCACATTCTACAAATATATTCAGAAAAATGAATTCTCTCAAAAATCTGTCATGTTTTATATCCAGTGGGGAAAGAGGTGAGGAAAGACAAATACAGTTGAGGAAATAGACACAATATTCCTAATATTTTGAATGTTTTAAATCATAAATTCAAGAATGCCCAATTGGCTTCCCACAGACCCCCCCCATACTACTAAATTTTTCCAAGAATTTATTTTCTAAGAAGGAAGCCCTGTACCCATAGCCACATTCTTGTCCCTGAGTTTTCTAATCTGGCTAAAGGAATCTCAAATCTTTGAGAACCACAGTTCTGTCTTTAAAGCCAATAGCTCCTAAATGTCACTTAATTTTCTAGACATAGAATTAAAAGATAACTTTTCCACAAACATACTTGCAATGTCAATGGCAAAAAGTTACACATAATAAAAACATAAGACTCTAATGCACTATGCAGAAAGTCCGGCAGCCCTGTCTAAAATGCCAATTCAAACAATATGACAATGGGCTCCTCCCCTACAATTTTGAAAAAGTCATTAGTGGAGCACTCCTTGGCTTATTCAAAGAGTTAGAAGTCAATATCACCCTCACTCCAGTAGGCACCTCATTCTTCAAGGAAAGATGTCGCGACCGCCTCGACCAGCAAGGAAGACACAATGCTGAGACTCTTCCTTAAGCAGTTTATTCAGGAAACTTAAACAATCTTCTGACCCCAGGGAAAGCCCGCCCACAGCTTAAAAGCACTCTTGCCAGCCAACCCCAGAACGCCACATGGCTAAGGCAGATAGGCTTGCATTTGCTGATGCAAGTTTGAATCTTAGACCAAGCCAAATAAGGAGTTGTTTATTCCAGAGATTGCTCACCCTCGGGATGGTGGAAGGCGGAAACCGGCGCCATCTTTAAGGGGTGCATCGAAGCTCTCCACAGAAAGAGACCACAACATCCAAGGGCTATGTTGATTCCTTCCATTTAACTCCTAAACTGACCCTGTCCTTACTCTCTCTTCATAAAAATTTTCAAAGAACTATGAAGAATGAGTGAAAATATCAAGATTAAAAGTCATACTTCTTTCAAAGAAAACTGTAGAATTGAAATGTGAAGCTCACATTCACATTTAGGAACATACAATACTCCACAATGCCATTGTATATTAAAGTTAGTAAACATTTATAAATAAACTTGCCAGGGTCAGATCATCATTTTCACCAGCTGTGAAATGGAAATCACACTGTCATCAAGAACCAGGATTACTTGCAGTGTCAGTGCTTAGGAGGGAACCAGGAATTGCAAGTAAACCTCTAACATACAGATATCATAAATGAATGTGAGCTACCATGTGGGCACTGGGAATCAAACTCGGGTTCTTCATAAAAGCAGCAAGTGAGCCAACTCTCCATGCACAGCAACAAATTATTAGTGGTTAGATTACAGTGGTAAGAGCAGCTGTCATAACAACCAAAATGCACTGTCCTTTTATGGCCTCCATTGGTACTAGACACACATATGGTGCGCAGATAAATAATCTGGCAAAACACTCACACTCATGTTTTTTTCAAAAATCTAATAATTTTTATTGCTGTTCTATAGTAATTAGCCATTTATAACTAATTGTGGCATTTGGTTCAAAAAAAGAATATTAAAACTTGATTTTTTACCTTTTATCCTGCTTTGTATTACATGTATTCTCATTAACAAGGGTTGTAATTACTGTTTTTTCTGATTTACAATATGTCACCTCAACTCAAGAGGTTTCTGTAAATGGGGCAGTTAAAATATAAGAAGTTTGACAGCTCTATCAAGCAAATGAAATGTGCAAAAATGAAAATGACTTTGAATGAGGACGAGAGTAACGTATCATTGCTATGAAATGGTAACTCAGGTGTGAGATATTATGAAAGAGAACTGTGCATGTGGAGAAATCCCCAATTAAAAGTGCCCTGCATAGTATATGTAAGAGAGCTGACTTTAGCTCTTTGGTTGCTGGTCTGCAGAATACTGTGGTAAAGATATGAGTCAGAATCAAGGAAGATGAGTTATTTCCTATAGAAATCAGAATCTTAACTAAAATTTCCAGAGCATTGCGCTGCATTGAGCCAGCTTGACAGAACAACAAATGCTGCCTTCCATATGTAAGCAGAAACAGTGTTTTGACAGTTCATGGCATATTTTGCAGGTCTATTGAGACCTCTGGGATTGTATTAAAGGAAAGATTTAGTTTTGTTTCTATGGAAACCATAGTTATTCTGTAATCCAGTAAAACAAAACAGTTCACAATGTGGTACCTTATTCAAGATGAGTAGTTTTTGCAATGTATCACTGATATTTTTTATCTAGATTTCAATATCTGCCTGAAAACAATTTAATATGTGATGCTCTGTATTAAAAGGACCAACCAAGCAGTCCTGGTATAAGCAAGCACCTCTGCACTCCAGATCCTATGCTGGAAATCAGAATGGACTCAACCTTGAGAAGGGATTCTGCCCAGCAATCACAACTAATATTCCTGCTTTGAACTAATGAGACAGTGCATTTCTTTATGCTGGTTCCAAATGTGTTTCTGTTTATTTCTCACCTTGTCTAATTACAAAGAAATTAAGCCACTTAAAGCAAATTGGCTTACCACCATAGGATTATAAAAGTCTGTCATTTCTTTTACCTGCTATCTATGATGATTGATGCATATCTACTAGAGTGCCATTTATCAGCAGTACCTATCACAAGACCCAGAACATAGGCTGAAAAGTAACTGCATGGATATAACAATAGTATTATTTTTATTGGTCAGCAGATATATTATAAATATTGTGCTTATTTCTTTAATTGAATGATCTCATTTAATCCTCAAGACAGTCCTAAGCATTGATACTTTGATGAGCCCCAGTGCACAGATAAAGAATCTTAAGTTCAGTGAATCTGGGAATGTGATATGACCTGTGTAGTGCAGCTAGTACACTAGTAGTAATGAAATATAAAGTTTGATCTGAGACTGGGGAGAGAGCTTAGTTAAGTAATGTGCTCATGTTGCAAGCATCAAGATCTGAGTTTAATCTTCAGAGGCCATGTGAAAATGTTGGGCATAGTGATATGGAAAAAGGGATCAGAAGTTAAGAGAGCCTACTCTTTTTCAGAAGACTCAAGTTTTGATCTCACCATATACACTGGGCAACTCACCACTGCCTATAATCCAGCTTCATGTGGTTGTTATCTATCTAGCCTCTGCAAGAACTTGCACATACACACCACCTACACAATTAAAAAGAAAATAAGTACTTTTTTATTCTGTACTATTTTGGTACCAAGTTATAAAGCCAGAAGTGGGGAATCAGAGAGAAGAATCCCTAAGCCCAGCCAAACTAACCTAATTAGTGAGTTCTGGTCCAGTCAAAGACTCTGACCCAAAGGAAGTGGATGGTGTTCCTTAAGATAATACCAGAGAAATACATTCCTACCCATGCAATGAAAAAAAATATAGTAGTATACTGAAGATAACACATAGTTAGTAAAATGGAAGCAGTGTGAGTAAGGTAGATACTATCCTCGATGTGAAATACTTTCTTTATATAGCTTTTTACTTTTCATCTGATATGAGGGGTATGTAGAGTTAAGACTGTAAAGAAACCTCCCATAAAGCTAAGGGCTTCCTTTAGCCTGAACTAGTTAGCATTCCAAAGAAAAGAAGACAACAAGTATTGGGCATACATTGTGGATGACCTGGGGTTCTGCTAATTACAACAGCTTAGAGCCAAGTTAGTATTCATGAGGTGGTGTGGGAGTTGGCAGAGCTGAAGTTGTCACACACCCTTGCTCCTCGACCAAAGTTTTCATTGCTGCCAAAACCACCTCCCCAACCATCACCAAAATTTCCAGAACCACTTCGACTGCTTAGGCTGGACGAAGCACTAGCCATCTCTTGCTTTGACAGGGCTTTTCTCACTTCACCCTTGTGGCCATTCAGAGTATGATATTTCTGAATAACAATCTTGCCCACAGAGTCATAGTCATCAAAGGTGACAAAAGCAAACCCTATTTTCTTCCCACTGCCTCTGTCCCTCATGATTTCAATCACTTCAATTTTCCCATACTGCCCAAAATAATCTCACAGGTTCTTCAGTGTCCTCTTTAATATCACCAACAAAGATCTGTTTCACAGTTAATTCCCCCCCCCCCCCGCCCTGGTCTTTGAGAATCTTCACTTGAAACAGCTCTCTTAAGTTCCCCAACTCTGCTATCCACCTTGTGTGGCCTTGTAGTCATAGCAGCATCTACTTCTTCCACAGTGCCATATGTGACAAAGCCGAAGCAACTGAGTCGCTTGGTGTTTGGATTGCTCATTACCACACAGTGTGTGTTCCCCATTGCTCAAAATGTATTCTCAGACTCTCCTCAGTTGTTTTCAAGCTCAGCCTCCAATGAAGAGTTTCCACAGCTGTTCTGGCTCCTTGGGAGACTCCGACTTAGATGTGAAAAGAGACTTCAATGATGCTTCCTCCACCGCATCAAGAGGCAGAAAGGAGAAAACCCATTGAGCACATTCTTATGCATCTTTCAGCCATTTTAGATTGTTCCATTAAGAATTGGTACAGGTAGGAAGTCACCCAACATTGACCTCTGAAACACACACACACTTCACCAGCAAGAGCCACACTAGGGATGTGCCTGTCTTCTTTTGCTAAGCTGTAACTCAGCATTCTAGTAGCCTAGTGATTATCAGAGAAAAGTGAGGAGGCCTTAAGAGAAGGCTATAATTTTATCCCACCAGTGACACTGAACCAAACTTCTGTGTTAACAATGATTACCATGTGGAAACCTAGCCTTTACTCTTCACCTCAAAACAGCTTAGTGTTCCCCCACCCCACCTGCCCACATCTTCTGACTGAGATGGTACCTGAAGAAGATCAGTGAAAAAATCAAAACTTCTTCTATTACCCATTCTGAAAAAAAAATAGTAATTTATTTTAAAACTAAATATACGTCTGTCATACAATGTTCAGATTCTTTTACTGGGTATTTATACCAGAGAAATGAGATATGTTCACACTACAATTTGCATACAAGTGCTTGATAATGATCTTTGTGCCCTTGATGGGTGAATATGAATAAACTGTGATACAGTCATACCATGGAATATATACTAGTCAACAATATAAAATAAATAAACTGTCACCATGAAACAATATCAATAGATCCATGGAGAGTGATGCAGAATGTAAAATATTAATGCCCAAAGGTCACACATGTCATAGTTCCATTTCTACAACACGTACATAACACCAGATTTACAGAAACAGAAGACAGACTAGTGGTTTTCCAGGGCTTAAAGGATCAGAGCAGTGAAGCACGTAGCTATAAAAGGTAATATGGATGGCTCTTATAGTGAAGGACTGTTTTGTGTCTCAGTTGTACCAATGTCAGCATTCTGCTTGTGATTTGTACTGTACTTTTTAAAAATATATAAATATTAGAGAAACTGAATAAATGGAACATGAGCTCTCTATTATTTCCACATGCAAATCTATAATTATCTCAGAATTAAAAAGCTTTATTGAAAACAGATTTTTTTCATGGAACTTGAAAAATTAATTTAGATCAATGTAGGAAAATGAAGCAAAAAAAATTATGTAGTCGGTTAGGAGTGTAAATAAGCACTGTTTGCTGAACATGGACAAGGCTCTAGGCTTCATACCCAGTAAGACCAAAACCAAAAGTAACAGTGAAGGACCTACTTAAGACTAAAAACAATATAGGGTTCTCTCTCCCTACTAAAAGCAGAAAATGAGCCAGCAAATCCTATTAGTTTCACTTTTTGAAGAATTTGGAAGTCTAGTAAAAGAAGAAAAATAGATTTAAAAAAAAAAAAGCTAGGAGTGACTTGGGGAAGGAATAGGCTGATGCTTTGTGGTCAGAGAATGAGCATTATGGTGTTTGAAAGTACTTGTCTACCATGCCCACACAGGCTGTACACTTAGTTCAATTTCCTACTGCCAGAGTTAGCAATGTAGAACTCACTCTCAAAGGCTTGTGCATGTGGATCTAAACCTGTCGGATAGTTTTTTCAACCAGGACAAGAGTTGCTTTATGCTACAACTAACTCAGTTTTTCTGGTTTCCCAGACAGCTTTGATAAGCCATGTGAAAGCACAGTATTGGCTGAGGTGTCCTAGGGCATACAATAAAAAACATTTAAGACAATCAATACATAGATCAAAAGTCTCTAGGAAGGCAGAGCTTAGGAAAGTAAGGGCTTCTGTGTATGCCAGAGGCTCAAGAAACCCATGTGTGGGCTCAGGATGGGATGAATGCTACACAATGACTTGGAAGACCTAAGATTTCACCTATAGCTACTCCCCAGTCTCCATACAAGTGAGGGAGGCTTAAATAAAGTAACAGAAAAACTGAACACTGGGGAATTGCTACAATACAAAGAAAAAGCGCACAAAGACCACAATACAGCGATTTTCTTTTCTCTTTTGCAAGCCTAAGTCTCTAAGATTACACTGTTAAAACACATGATGATAACTGAACTTAAAGACTACAGACTGCTATGCTTGACCAAAATAATACACAGGCCTGAAAAAAAAAATGGTTTGGAAAAACCACATAGCAAATAAATGACTACCTGAAATAGAAGCGCAATAAACCCCGAGGGGGTGGAAGAAGAGAAAATCTGAATTTTTGTGTTAGAATCACCTAGTATTTGGTAAAAATAAATAAGAACATATGATCTGGAAAAAAAAGAATTGGTACAGGAGACTGCTTTCTGAACACAACACCTGTATCACCAACACTGAGATCCACAATTAATAAGTGGGACCTCCTGAAACTGAGAACCTTCTGTATGGCTAAGGACACATTCAGCAAGACAAAATGGCAACCCACAGACTGGGAAAAGATATTCACCAACCCCATATCTAACAGAGGGCTGATCTCCAAAATACACAAAGAACTCAAGAAGCTAGTCTCCAAAACAATACAATCCAATTAAAAAGTGGGATAACATAACTAAATAGACAATTATCAATACAGAAATCTAAATGGGCTGAAAGACACATAAGAAAGTGTTCAACATCCTTAGTCATCAGGGAAATGCAAATCAAAACAACTCTGAGATACCATCTTACTCTTGTCAGAATGGCTAAAATCAAAAACACCAATGATAGTTTATGCTGGAGAGGATGTGGAGAAAGGGGAACATTACTCCAATGCTGGTGGGAGTGCCAACTTGTACAGCCACTTTGGAAATTAGTATGGCGACTTCTCAGGAAATTGGGAATCAATCTCCCACAAGATCCAGCAATTCCACTCTTAGGCATACAACCAAAAGAAGCACATTCATACAACAAGGACATCTGTTCAACAATGTTCATAGCAGCACAATTTGTAATAGTCCAGAACCTGGAATCAGCCTAGATGATGCTTAACTGAAGAATGGATAAAGAAAATATGGCACGTTTACACACTGGAGCTCTGCTCAGCAGAAAAACACAATGCAATCTTGAGATTCCAGGCAAATGGATGACACTAGAAGAAACCATTCTGAACAAGGTAACCCAATCACAAAAAGACAAACGTGGTATGTACTCGCTCATATGTGCATTTTAGACATACCAGCCTAAAATCCACACCGCCAGAGAAGCTAGTAAACAAGGAGGTCACTGAGAGAGACATACATGGTCCCCTGGAGAAGGGGAAAGTGACAAGATCTCCTGAGCAAATTGGGAGCAAGGGAGGAGGGGGGAGGGACCTAGGAGAATGAGAAGGGGAGAAGAGGAGGGGTTAGGAGGACATGAGGGAGCAGAAAGGTTGAGTCGGGTGAAAAATAGAAGAAAACAAGAAAGGAGATACCATAATAGGGTTTTAGTTGGGAGGGGGTGGTAGGAGAGGAAGAGAGGTAGTGGGAACTTGGATTGACATGTAAAATTATCTTTTTTCTAATTCAAATAAAAAAGAAATATAAAAAAGAAAATTGTATCTAATAAATAGTACATATTTAACAATAAAAACCTCCAACCCAATGAAAATAACTATGCTCAAAAACCATAGGCAATAGATAATCCCACTCTACCTAACACCAAAAGAAAAAAGGGGGGAATTCCACACATAATAACACCACCACCAACAAACCCAAAACAAACAAGAATCAACAATCAATGTTCATTAACAACACTCAATTTCAGTGGTCTTAACTTGCCTATAAAAAGATACAGGCTAACAGAATGGATATAAAGAACGAATCCATCCTTCTGCTGCATACAAGAAACCCATCTCAATGTCAAAGACAGGTGTTCCCTCAAAGTAAAGGGTTGGGAAAAGACATTCCAATCAAATGGACCCATGAAACAAGCCAGTGTAGGAATCCTAATATCTAACAAATTAGACTTCAAAATAAAATCAATCAAAAGAAATGAAGAAGGACATTTCATACTCATCACAGGAAAAGTCCATCAAGATGAAGTCTCAGTCCTAAACATCTATGCCCCAAATACGGAGGCAGCCACATTCATAAAAGAAACATTACTAAAGCTCAAATCACACGTAAAACCTCATACACTTATAGAAGCAAATTTCAACACCCCTATCTTACCACTAGATAGGACCACCAGACAGAAACTTAGCAAAAGAAACAAATGAACTAACAGACCAACTAACAAATGACCAACATAAACATTGGGTTTAACAGATATCTACAGAACACTCCATCCAAACAAAAAAGAATATACCTTCTTCTCAGCACCTCATGGAACTTTCTCTAAAGCTGACCACATATTTGGCAACGTAGCATACCTACACAGATACAAAAAGAAAAATTGGATAAACCCCCTATATCTTATCACACCACCATGCCTTAAAGTTAGAATAAAACAAGGGCACAAATTGTAAGAAGCCTACAAACTCATGGAAATTGAATAATGCGCAATTGCACCATTCCTGGGTCAAGGAAGAAATTAAAGACTTCCTAGAATATGAAGAGAATGAAGACACACATACCCAAACTTATGGGACACTTTGAAAGCAGTGCTAAGAGGAAATTTCATAGGGCTAAGGGCCCACATGATCAAACTGAATAAAGGTCACACTAGAGAATGTACACTGCAACTAAAATCTCTACAACAAAAGGAGGCATACTCACCCCGGAGGAGTAGACTGCAGGAAATAATCAAACTAAGGGCTGAAATCAATAAAGTAGAAACTACAAAAACACTACAAAGAATCAATGTGACAAAGAGTTGGTTCTTTGAGAAAGTCAACTAGACAGATAAACCTTTATCCAAACTAAAGAGAGAGCATAATAATTAACAAAATCATAAATGAAAAGGGGGACATAACAAGACACTGAGGAAATCCAGAGAATCATCAGGTCATACTTTGAAAACCTGTACTCCATAAAATTCAAAAATCTAAAGGAAATGGACAATTTTCTGGATAGATATAACTTATCAAATTAAATCAAGAACAGATAAGCAATTTAAACAGACTTATAGCCCCTAATAAATTGGAGCAGTCATCAAAAGTCTACCAACTAAAAAAACCCCAGGGCCAGGTGGTCTCAATGCAAAATTCTACCAGAAATTCAAAGAAGAGCTAATACCAGTACTCCTCAAATAGTTCCAAATAATAACAGCAGAAGGGACAATGGCATGATCTTTCTATGAGGCTACAATTACATTGGTGCCCAAGCCACACAAAGAAACAACTAAAAAAGAGAATTACAGATCAATTCAATCACTAACATCAATGCAAAAATATTCAACAAAATGCTGGCAAATCGAATCCAAAGACACATCAGAGAAATCATTCACCATAATCAAGTTGGCTTCATTCCAGGAATGCAGGGATGGTTTAACATATAAAAATCTATCAATGTAATCCACCATATAAACAAACTGAAAAAGAAAAGCCACATGATCATCTCCCTAGATGCTGAAAAAGCCTTTGACAAAAATCCAACATCTTCTCATGATAAAGTACTTGGAGAGATCAGAAATAACAGCAAGATACTTTAACATGATAAAAGCAATATACAGCAAACAAACAGCCAACATCAAACTAAATGGAGAGAAACTCAAAGTGATTCCTCTAAAATCAGGAACAAGACAAGGCTATCCACTTTCTTCATACCTCTTCAATATTGTACTTGAAGTTCTAGTTAGAGCAATAAGAAAACAAAAGAAGATCAAGGGGATACAAATTGAAAAGGGTTTAATTGCAGATGATAGGATAGTTTATATAAGTGACCTGAAAAACTCTACCAGGGAACACCTACAACTGATGAACACCTTCAGCAAAGTAGCAGGATACAAAGTTAACTCAAAAAAATCAGTATCCCTACAATATACAGATGATAAATGGGCTGAGAAAGAAGTCAGAGAAACATCACCCTTTACAATAGCAACAAACAACATAAAATGTCTTGGGGTAGCACTAACCAAAAATGTGAAAGACATGTATAGTAAGAACTTTGAGTCTTTAAAGAAAGAAATTAAAGAAGATACCAGAAAATAGAAAGATCTCTCATGCTCTTGGATAGGTAGGATCAACATAGTAAAAATGGCAACCTTACCAAAAGAGATATACAGATTCAATGCAATTCCCATCAAAATCACAACACATTTCTTCACAGATCTTGAATGGAAAGGACTCAACTCCATATAGAAAAAAAAAAAGGATACCCAAAACAACCATGTACAATAACGGAACATCCGGAGGCATCACTATCCTAGACTTCAAGCTCTATTATAGAGCCATAGTCCTGAAAAGAGCTTGGTATTGGCACAAAAGTAGGCAGGCTGACCAATGGAACCAAAGTGAAAACTCTGATATTAACCGACACACCTACAAACACCTGATTTTTTACAAAGAAGCTTAAGTTATACAATGAAAAAAGAAAGCATCTTTAACAAATGGTGTTGGCATAACTGGATTCTGATATGTAGAAGATTGCAGATAGATCCATATCTATTGCCATGCATAACACTTAAGTCCAAATGGATCAATGACCTTGACATAAATCCAGCCACACTGAATCTT